TTGCGTCAGTTATACTCACCCCTCCTAAAAAAAAAAAGAATTTGAAAAATATAATATAACTAACGCTCAAAATGTTTGGTGTTGTGCGCCAAAGCCGCTATCACGAAGACGTCGGCTCGCTCCGAGTGAAGGTTTGTCGTAGCTTTTCCTGTTTGGAGGTCATACGTTACTCAATGTTTAGCCACCACAAGTTAGTTCAAGTCACTGCAAAGTGCAAAAAAAAGTTTAAAAAAATATAGCTTTTTTTTTTTTTTTTTTGAAATATCGACGTACAATTTTGTTACAGTTCGAGAAATCAGCTGCATTTCCGCATTTATAACAAGAAGACAATTAATGGTGGGAAAATTATCTTCATATATCTGTAAAGAATATTTAAAGACGCGCATTTTGATATGTTTTGTAAAGTGTAATAAAAAACGGTTTATTTGCAAAAAAAAATTGTGAGTATGTCTCTGAAACGCGTATTTATGCCATGTTTGATTTTTTCGTTTGCATAAAAATATTTTATTGATATTTTTAATTTTTTGTGTATGCGTTTTATATATTTTGGGAAATGTATTAAAAAGGTATGGTGACGTGAAATTTTCGATGAGAAATCGACGACTGTGCAAAGTAGCATCGTGAAATCTCAATTTCCAAGCCTCGAGCTTCTCTATTTTATATCTCAGCAAAAAAAAAAAAAAAAATAATAATAATAATAATTGTTGCGGCGTTTATTTATAGCTGAATGTTCCTCCCAAGAACATGGTTTTCGTATATATTTTTAACAAAAATATCAAAATTATGACCCGGTCTATCATTCCACGTACTGACATGGAATCACAACACTGGCATCGTTAGATTCTGCCAAAGATCGTTCGCCGCTCAAAACTTTCTGTCACTAAATTTTCAGAGATGTTTCCTTCGAGTCGATGCGAATTTTCAGTCTTACGGCGGCACTCCAAAGCGCCCTGAGCCAGATGGTCACTAACATCAGGATGATGCAATCTCGGCAAAAATGTTGCATCATCATTTTTTTTCCACCACGGCGCGCGTATTTTATTTATATCAAACACGGCACGGCAACAGATTGAGCTGTGTTGCTGTTCTCGCAAGATAAACGTTTTTCACAGCAGCTTGCTTTTGTCAGAAATTCGCCAAACATTCACATCAAACTGCCGACGCCTATTTTATCCGGAGTGCATCAATCGTTACACCAACGCAGCTACAACTTTAACCGAACTAGGATCGCGGAGGAGACGTCCTTCGTAGAAGCGATATCGTATTAGTTCGAAAGCACCGATGATGACTGCCAAACTTTTCCTTCGCTCCCACGAATGGAATATGGACCCAGAGGAAAACTGAAACACCCCGAGAAATAAAGAAAGACCAATTTGTCGGAAAGGGAGCAAGCGAGAGAGAGAACCGGGCTGACGTAGGGGCGCCAGGTCTATTTCTGTGGAACGGGCGTCAATTAACTCGTCTCGGGGCGGGATCCGAGGGAATTCCCCCGACGTCTTTTTTCCCCAGAACCCCGGAGACTGCAGTGGCAAGAAACCGCCATTACTTCCGCCACCCGAGCGTACGAGAGACGCGAGATGTCTGGCGAAGCCCACTTGGTAGCCAGGGGCCAATCAAAAGGCGGTCAGGGCGTGTGGTCAATCACGTATGCCGTCCGCTCCGCCGCGCGCTCGGCTCGGCCGGGTGAAAACCCCCTCACGCGCTCCTCTTCGCCGATCTCGTGATCACGCCAGTCCCTCCCGAGCCGCGGGGGCAAGAGGGGGACGGCTAAACGTCACGTCCGTCCTGGCTAAAAATAGAAAGGCGGCTTGCCCTTCGAACAAGAGCGAAATGACGGAGCGAGAAATACGCCAAGTAAATATACCAGACGACGAATAACGGACTTTCGCGGGAAGGAAGGACAATGACCAGGGAATTAAAAGAGAGACTTCAAATGAGAACGGTCTGACAAAGCCTAACAAGCTGCGAGCGGACGACCTCGGGTACCGCTCGGTCCGTCGGTGGTCGACATTGAAGATAATCGCGTCTGCGGCTTTGACCAAGTTTCACGAGACTTTTTCTGCGATGGTTGATTCGCGGACCGATTTCGGTTCACGCGGCCGGACCCAGGTTGGGCGCCAAAAGTGGTGCTTCGTTCGCGCCACGTCGGGGCCCCGGAAGAATGGGGACATTTCCGGCTACTCGAAGACACCGAAACGGTTAAAGACAGACGGCTACTATTCGCGAGAAAATGGTAAGAAGAAGCGTGTGAATATGAACATTGGGCGGTAAGGTGCGAATACAAAGGAAAAGAGCGGAAGAGAGCTTTTGAGGGAAAGGTGCGTAAGCATTCTTGCCACCCGCGACGATTCTTCGCCGACCAACCAGCCGACCGCCGAACACGGGGACGGTGGCGACAAAACAAACGGACAAAAAAAAACCGCACGACAAAACACGGCAAAGAACGCCCGGGAAGAACGCGTGAGTTTGGGGGAGAGTCGCCTCTCCGCCAGCCGCGTGACCCCGACGTCACGGCCACGCCGCCGGCAGGACCAATGGCGGGACGCGGTGAGCGCCGAGCCCCCTCTTGGGGCGACCCCGCTGATGACCCCAAGCCCCCTCGAGGGACGCGTAGACCACGCCCTCCACGGACGTATAAAAGCCGCCGTGTGCTTGAACGGGAAAGGTGGACACACACGGACCGGAGAGAGAGGAACTCTGTGGCGGACCAAGTGGAAAGCGGAAACGTCGTATTCCACCCCGATATCCAGGAAAAGAAACAATTCCTCGTCGCTCGGATCACGCCCATCCCCCCAGCTCGCGCATCCAAGACTCGCCCACGACAAACACCGGACAAGCTCAACAGGTATGTCCTTGACGGCTCGACACGGCTGTAGAAACACTCAAGAGGACCCTCGCCCACCCCTCCTCGCGTGCCTCCCGACTCGAAGCGTCGCGGTTGCCCGTAGTACGATGAGTGGGATCGGTCAGCCCTTGTCAATCGACGAAACTCAATGGACGCAATCTCGGGAGAAACTCTCTTCGCCACTCGGCACCGCCACCGTTCGACCCAGACAAGCGCATGTGACGTCCACGCGGGGGCGCGCCAAGCGTATACGCCGAAAAAACAATCGATCGGGGAACGATACCTGAACTACACGGAAGGATTTAGCGGTGGCTAGCCTTTAGCGTATACTTGGTGCGGAAATCGAGTTTAGGTAATCGCTGCGCGTGCCCCCAAACGTACGGACGAACTCAACTCGAACCTTCCCGCGGATGGGCCGGGCGGCCGGACAGGTCCCAACGTGTTCCGTGTTGGAATGCTGCGTCGGAACGGTGCGATCCCCGGCTTTGGAAACGGACTTGCGCAAATGGGTTACCGTCACGTTGTTCTCAGATAACACTCTGAACTTCCCGCTTCACCAAGAAACAAAACAAAATTTTTGTAAATGTCTGTATTCGACAAATACATTTAACAAAAAAGGAAAAGAAAAAAGAATAGCGCAACATTTATGTCGCGATACGTATGTCGAGTTAGGATGGATTCTGGCAAGGAGTTCCATCTTGGGGCCCATATCTCGAAAGAGAAGCATGTTTCGGAATCCTTCATAACTCAAAATCTGTCTCACAAAGTAAGTATCGCGGCATTTTTTTTTTTTCGGGGATGTTTATTTTATGACCTGCGTGTCCCATTCAGGAACTTAAAAACGTTTCTGGCAGCCCTGCCTCACTTCAAGATTGACGTAGTCCACGCACAAAAGCCGGGATCGTGAGCGTTGCCTCGAATTCTGACCGTCGCGTATCACGGAAGTGTGTTGAGGTGTTCGCGGGCGCCGTGCAATCGTTACATTATGTTTTCCCACGAGGAGGCTGAGTACGTGTCATGAAACGCCTCCGTATCCTGAGTATGGGGACACTCAGGACAGGATGACGCGCTTCGACTCCCAGCTGGACCGCCCTGTCCCTCGGGGAGAGGAGTCGACGCGGCAATTTGTTTCAAATTGGAAATGCAGCGACGGGCGTGTGCGTGCCGTGCCGTGGGTGCTCCCGACCCGGACGGCCGCCCCTCTTTTCATGCATAAGAATGCATGAAAATGCGGGACGTCTTTACCGGGACTTTCGTTTCCGGTCTGTGGTCACAAGCCGCCGTGGGCAGAATCCTCGCTCAGGGATATTCCATAGATTGGTGTAGAGCGATTGTAGATTGGGAAGATTTCAGGGACAGGGGAGACATGTTGCGCCGAGAGTTGCGTGGAGCATATAGTCCCGACCATTGGCTGTTTCGTTCGTAGATTGCCTTACTTCCAGCAGACGTATTCCTAGACCTCTCTAGCTGAAACCTCATTAAGTTGTCTTTGCTACAGGGTCTTCGTTTAAGAATAAATTAAATTGAGTGAAATTAGAAATGTCGTGAGCCTCGTTTTCATTTGCTGGATCGCGCACGCTCAAGAAACTACGACCAAGTTCACAGATCTGTTCTGTACAGTACAAAACCGTCTACGTTGGAGTCTACTTCGAACACTTAACCGTAACATGAAGGATAAGCTTACGCGACTACCAGCGTATACGGAGTGATTATATTACGGAACTAATGAGCCCCCTTTGTCCTCTTCGTAAAACAAATCATCGTTCACTCAGAAATTAACTTACCGGAAGCATCGTTGCTCAAAATGAAACAATAAATCAACCTTCACACGAAAAGAGGAGGGGCTCCAACGATGGCCCTCCCGATATCCCTAAAATCTTGAGCAGCAGAACCTCATATCCCACGAGCATCGTTATAGGGACCAGTGTTTACAAGTGGCCCACTAACATAGAATCAGCATCCCTACTTGCACCGCAGAGAACACTGTAGGAGCCATCCCAGCCAATCAATCAATGCATCACGTGACCCTAAGTGACGTGACACTCAGGCCCCAATGTATTCACTCCCGTGTCCATTGCGGATCATCGTAGCATGAGCGTGAGCGAGCTCCTTTGGCACAGCAGCGTCCCTGCAGCGTCGCGTGTGCCCCCTCCAGATGAGCCCGAGCTGTCCCGTGCACCGGCGGTGGCTGGCAGCGCTGTTGCTGGTGTCCGGCACGCTGGTGTCGCACCAGGGAGCCCAGGCCAGGAACCTGCACAAGAGGAGCTTCCTCGAGCTGGGCTGCAGGGGAAACTTCGAGCAGTCCTACCTCGCCCGGCTGGAGAGAGTGTGCGAGGAGTGCTTCGGCCTCTACAGGGAACCCCAGGTCTACAACATCTGCAGGTAATTTTCGCCATCATCAAACGGGCTCTCATTGCGGCAGAGTTTTCGAAGAGGGAGATTTGTTCAGCTTGCTACGCTGGAGAAATGGTGTGGGTTTTGACAGCTGGGAGTGCTTCGATGGGCGTCTGGTGTCTCAGCTGTAGATGAGAGCTAGTCCAGTATACAACCGCTAGTCTGGGCTCTTTAACGTGCACCACGCAGTAGTGATACACGACCGCACGCAGGTGCGATGGTCATCCAGATCGAAACGGGCAAGGGTAAGGATTGAATCCAGGAGGTTCTCTAGCGTGAGCTTTCGCTCCATGTTCTCCGAGCTGGTGTGCACTAGCCCGCTGGATGTCGCTGGATGACGTCGCTGGGCTAACCGGCGCCGTGCTGTCAAGACTGAATGCAGTCTAGACAGGCAGCCGATTCCTTTAACGTAAGCGCGGATTGCATTGGTACTTACCTCAACTACTCCAGGAAAGGCAAAAACCTTAAATGGATGCTCCGGGAAGGTGCTCCCGCTGCACCGAAGTCGGTGGAGTTGAGAAGGAATCTGAAGAAGGAACTTGGGCTCCTTACTTTCCAACACAGCCATAATTTTGTAAAGTCTACATTAAAGTAATTATTTTAGATTAAGGACGCCTCGCTCTCTACGTTCTATATAATTTTTCACACTGTATAACTTCGTGCGTCTTCGATAGCTTCGATTAGTGCTTTTCGAACATTTCAACAGCTTTCTATTATGTTTTATTAACCCGCGCCTGTAGAGGTTTTGCAGCCTTTGGCCCTAACGAACTTTCAGCAGCAGTCACGGCCCGTGGACTATGCTACTTCTGAAGCGAAAACGAAGCTGGAGTTCTAACCGCGAGGCTGTCGTTTCGAGGGGTGCTTACACTGTTCGAATGCATGCCAGCTGTGATCAAAGCACGGGGCTAACGGAGTATAGAAGCGGCAACCTCCATGGCGTCGAGGTTCCATATTGGCCTCCGGAAAGCTAAGGCAGGGTTTGCATCCCAGGCGGTCTCATCATCCTCATATTATATTGCAGATTCAGGTTGGTTAACCGCGGCTTGCGTCGCTAACTCGTGCTCTAGCGTGGATCTTTGATAGCTCGACACGACGGTCCACCACGGTGATTCCCCGGTGGGCCCTCGGGCCGTAGAGCGGCCAAGTCAACGTAGGTCTCCCAGCAGCCCTGGACGCGCCCTGACCGTGCGAGTGTTGCTTCCTCCCCGCAGGGCCAACTGCTTCAAGAACGAGAACTTTGACCTGTGTGCCGACGCGCTTCTGCTCAAGGACGAGATGTCCGACCTGCGACGGATGATCAACTACGTGTACGGATGACGAGGCTGCCCGCCACGACGCCGCCCATGCCAGCAAACCGTCCAGCTGCATCGTTTTTCCCTAATTTAACGGATACCTTTTAACTTATGTTCACACCTTATTTACCCTGTGTTCGTTCGTTTGCCGAAGATACTCGCGATTGGGTATCTTCGCCCTACGTGCTCATTGGATTGTTGGTTGTTACGTCTGGATGATTTATGCAACTCGGTCGTGTCTTAGGGACGCACTTTTTGGGTGAAATATTTTGCGAGTTTATTTTGACGCGCGAAATTTTATAGTTTCTTGGTAGCGTTATTTTAGCGGGTATTGTAATTATTTGTATTATAATAATTATTATTATTATAATTATTATTATACACAACGTCGTTCTCGTAATTTATACACTGCCTGGTCCTTGTGCGGGTAATTTACAACTTTTCAAAGTACGACGAAGAAGAAAACATAAAAAAAATGCGAGAGATCAACTATTTACACTTTTTGGAGACGCATTCGCTGGGACCCTCTGGTCATAACTTTGTGGGTCGAAGGAATCGTGCCATTAAAGACGCAAGCAACGACACGTGCCTTTGGTCTGATTTCTTCGCATCTTCCTCGGAGGTTTGTTAGACGTGATTCTGTATATGTTTTGTCCAGCCGGTCTTTAGACGGAGTCTGAAAGTTACGCCGGAAAAGCGCAGCTTTTCTGGCCAATGTGAAGCACGATTGACTTGTGCAGGCTAGAAAACGCCGAGCAGATCAGAAACACACGCAGCACATAAATAAACATTGTAACTTGGCAAAGAGCGAACGCCCCTTCGAGGTAATGAAAGCACGGAGGCGTACCACTTGACAACCTTTAACAGAAGACACAAGCTGTTGAAGAAGACGGGAAGGAGAAACTTCCTTCTCGCCCTCTTTTGTCAACTCAAGAAGGCAGGGCGAGAGAAAGGAAGGCCGGGGAGGAAGAAGCAGACGGAACGCTATAGAGGAGAGGAGGATACTTCCTCTTCTCTTTAGCGTTTTGTCTGCTTCTTATCTCCCCAGCTTTTCTTCCCCTCGCCCTACATTCTTGAGTTACAACTGACGAAGATAATCCCGCCAATCGAAATTCGCGCAAAAGCTGCGTTCCTCTCTCTCCCGCCCGTGACTTCCACAGCACTGCGCGAAACTAGCGAGACAGAGTATAGTCACTAGAGTTGGGCGTCGATTAAAAAGTTTAACCCGATTAATCGCCACCCGTTCATCGATTAATTAATCGACTAATCAGTCATGCTCATTCCGACGCATAATAGTATTTAAAAAAAAAGTCAAAATTAAATGTTTTGTTTCTGCCGAATATATGACAAACTGCGCAGCACAATTTCGTTTTTTAAATCAACCTTGACGTGTGGTTGAGAAGTGTCCAAAGACACCAACACTCACAAATTATTACTTCAGCCGCAGAGGCAAAGAGGTTTATTGATATTCCCCGGCAATAGTGAACTCCATGGATGAATCGCAATCGTCTCTGCCGCGCTAAAGGGACACTTGCTCGGTGTTTGAAGTGGCTATGACACGTATTACCTTCTCCTCTTGTTTAGAGTTACAAGTATCGCCCTTACAGTTTTCTTTAGGTGGTCAAAATTTACCCACAAAGTTTGCCTTCCCACAGGTGTACTCGTCCACGTCTGCGTGGTAAACACGCTGAATTTTTACCTTTTTGTTGTTTCTCGATATTTACCAAATTAACCGGTTAAAAAATAATCTCGATTAAAGCATGAATCGATTAATCGGTAGGTTAATCGATCAAATGCCCAGCCCTAATACTCACGTGTTTCTTTCCGACGCACTGATTGGCTCACTGGGGCCGTGACCTTCGCCGTTTGAGTGGCAAGCCCTGTGCGTACTTTATCAGTTATTTTTTTTTTTTTTTTGCGCTGAGTTTGTTACTTTACGTATAATCACCTAGCTTTCCAGCTGATTTCTAGCGAATTGACTTGCAATGTCTTGCCCAGTGTGCCAATTTATAACCGAAAAAAAAGGAGGTAAATTGGACGCAAATTTGGAGCCAATGCCGTCCACGCTATGTTCAGCATTTCACAAACTAGAAGCAGTGTGGGCTCCGCCTTTTCGTAACAAATTGGTAGGACTTCATGGTTTTCGGATGTCGGTACGGCCCCTCATGCAAAGATTAGCGAGGCGCAGTTAAGATAAAACAGGTAAAGCTGCATTGTCATTCTTGTAACAGAGCAGGCTTCGTTTACAAGAATACGGGCGTGGTGGCTCACTGTTCTAACTGTCGTCGTAGTTGCGGCCCCCACCAACTTTAAAAAGCTTCCTCACAGCACACAAGTCTCCCCGCTTTTTGATGTAGCACTGCATTATCAAAGCGAGAAGGCCAGACAAAACACGAGGATAGCTATAGACCAGTGTCTGTTCTGCTCAGCGCCGCCATGTTCGTTTCGGCGGACGCAATGACACAGTAAAAACAAGCTGCACGTTTCGCAAGACTCCGTCTCGTTTTTTTTTTTTTTTTTTTTTTTTTTTTTTAGGTGCGAAGTTTTTTAGGGTCTAGCCTTGTCGGGCGTCCGAGCTCACACCGATTGCCATCCCATCTGTCTTCTTAAAAAGAGAAAAAAGGTTTGCGCAGTCGACAGGATTCGAACCTGTGCGGGGAGAGACCAGTCTTTTTTTTCTAGTCCTTTTTTTTTTTGTAAAATGTGTTTATTTACATATTAAAAGCATTACAGAGGGCCACCTTAGCCAAAGAGCACTCGCAAAAAATTAGACGTTATTACATACGCATAACCTATAGAGGTTTGAACATTATACAATGTCTAGCGCTTAAATGTTCTTCTTTTTACCATATAGTTTCTTAAAGCGACTTCCACCAATGGATTTCTAGTCCATCGCCTTAACCACTCGGCCACGACTGCGAGACAAATAGGGGGCTCTAAGATGTGGAAGTAATTCAAGAGCTGGGGTTTCTGTCATGGATGAAACGTTGCATGTACCAGCTCAACGTCTGTACAGGAGAGGGCGCTGCGGTCAAATGCGTATATAATCGCGTTAAACTTTGCATGCATTGGCTCAACGTTCATAGACGAGAGGGCGCTGAGGTCAAATGCTCAAATGCGTATATAACCACGTTCCATACCACACATTTCATATCAACGCAACCCGGAACTGAGCACTACCTATGGGCAACAAAAAAAAATCTGCACCATCAGCAATAGCTATGAACAAAATCAGTATCATCAGCACCACCAGAGCTTCGTCCCAATCAACATCATTCACCACGAGAAAATGCGTTTATTTCTTTTTTTTTTTTTTTTTAGGAAACGTTTGCACATGTTGTAGTGCAAGAACGTCGGAAAGGCATAGTCACGATGCTTCAATAACAACATCAATGCCAAGAGGGCTTTAAATAGCAAAAACCTTGTTTTATGCGCAGTTCTTGTCTTCACAAGAGCCTGCGGTTGAGATTATTACTTCACATTTTTATCGCTGGGGGCTAGGATTTCGGACAGTGGTCTATGGGGTATACCTGCACTGCTGTTTGGTTTGGCGCTATCTGGCGACTGAAGCAAGTAACATTGGGTATGCCCGGGAGTGGCAGCTGCATTGTTCAAACGTCAGCTATTACTCTGGTGGCGCCGCTACAGCCTAGTGTCGGAAGCAAGAAACGCTGGGTAGGCCAAAAAGAGGTGATC